TACAGCACTCCAATATTCGTACTTTTCGTTTCCGGCATACGTTCGCATAACTCCATACACTGCAGAGCTTCTGAAAAGCACCTTTTGCTTCGCCAAGTCGCCTTGTCAGTTCCGTCCGTGGCTTCCCGTCGGTGCTGATGAGGCCGCCCAAGTAAACAGCACTATCTTTAGCTTGAATCGCGTCTCCGCCAGGCCCAAATATTTCCGCATCCGAATTGATATTTAGCAGAACCGTCTTTCCTTCGTTGACCTCCAATCCAAATGCTTTGCCGATCGCCACCACCACGTTCAGATGTCTCTGGAGAGCGCCGGGGTCTTCGGCTAGCAGCATCGTGTCGTCGGCGTACAGGACGTCGTCTGTGATGAGGTAGTCTTTCTTTGCCGTTGTATCCACATGTTGCCGTACTTCGTTGTCTACTGCTTCCAAAAGGACCGACATAACGATAACGAACAAGTAGGGTGAAAGAGGGCAGCCCTGTGCGATGCCGGCTCTCTGGTTACGTTGCGTAGATGTGTTGGGCCCGTCCTTTACCACGAACGTACGTGCTGTGTAGATTGCTTTCACCATGTCCAACATTTCCTGCGGTACTCCAAATTCTCGTAAAGCGTGAAGCAGGCCGTCTGGTTTGATACGGTCGAATGCTTTGCTCCAGTCCAATAACAAGATAGACAACTTCCCGTTCTTGTCTTCCAGCGTGGCGTCAATTAGACGGCGTACCAAAAATAATGCATCTGTTGTACCACGGCCAGGTCGAAATCCGTATTGCGATTCCCGCAACTGGCTCTCCCTTCCTCCATGTTTGAACCAATGTAGAATTATGCTTGCCACTATTTTATACCAACTGCCAGCAGAGATATTGGTCTGTAGTTCCCAGGCTGCGACGTGTCACCTTTTGTGAATCTTGTAACAATAGATGCTTCCCGCCACTTTTCTGGCATCTGCTTTTGCTTCCAACAATCGTCACACAGATCCCGGAGCACATCTAAAGCGTCTTCGTTTGACCAAAGGACTTGCCAGAAGTCGGGGGGCACGCCGTCGTTGCCTGCTGCTTTGTTGGCCCGTAGGCGTTGTAGTGCTCGGCGCACTTCCCCAAGAGTAACGCTTCCCGTGTTGATATCCAACGTGCCGCCGTTCTGCTGTATCAGTGGTAATGGTTCAGGTCCATCATATAATTTCCATTGCACTGTCTCCAGATAGTCCGCCATTGTTTCGGCCTTTTCCTCAGAATCCACCAGATCACCTGCAAGATTGCGTAGACGCCCTTGCTGTGGAGCAGGGCTTTTCCGCAAGGACCGAATCGCTTGCCAACCGCCGTTTTCGATCGCATTGTCCAGCCATCGTTGTTTATCGGCGCGTGCAGAAGATCGAACTTGCTTGTTAAGATGCGCGGTATTGCCACCATGAGCTCTTGTAGTATTTCTCTGGTCTATCAAAGACAGCGTTCTTGAAGATATCCACGTTTTGCGCGGCCTGGCTGATAGTAGCGGGACGTGTTCTGCAGCGGCTTCCAACATGCATTCGGCGATGTTCAACGTTTTCTCTTGTACTGTCTTGCTAACTTGGTTTGCCCCCACTTTGGTAATGAAGCTGGTAGTGTATTTTTCTGCTATTGCCGCATCTCGTAAAGATTTCGAGTCATATCGAGGTGGCCGCGGGGGTCGCTTTTCCATGGGGATGTGGATCTCCAGGTCAACAATGCATACAAAATGATGCGACTGTAGAGCCCTGGCCCGGTCGGCCCAAACGCACCGTATGTTTGACAACCACTTCTGGTCGACCACGACGTGGTCGAGCTGCTCGAAACTCCCGGGCCGAATGAAATCCATTGGGCGCGTGCCGATATCAAAGTAGGTTACTTTTGACTCCACTGGTACGTCGAAAAACGTGTTCGCGATGCAAGCGTCCACCGCAGTGCACAATTCTACCAACAATTCCCGGTTTGACGTAGGATCCCAATGACTGGCACTGTTTCGAAAGACGTGCTCCCCCATGACATCCTCCTCCCCGGCGAATCGTTCCAGGAGACGTGCGTTAAGATCGCCGAGAAGTATTGTTGGACCGTGAGAGCGGCACTTCGTGTAGATCTTAAGCAAATCGGCGAAAAAGTCGCGCCGCAGGTCGTAGTGGTACAAATTCGTCCAAGCGTAAACTGTGACCAATGTTAATATACCTCCTGTAACCCGCAACCGTAAACTAGCGACTCGACTGTTGTATTGCACGTAGCCTTTGAGTGCTGGTCGGGCCCATGGCGAGACAATGAATCCCACTCCAGCGTACTCTCGATGATCACCTTCAGCCCCAGATAGAATAATTAAATGGCCTTCGAATTCGTAGACTTCAGATCCGGAGCAATGTGTCTCTTGGAGACACAATACTGCGATGTCTAAGTCGCGCATCTGCTTAATAATCTCGTACGCCTTCTGCGGGCTGCTCCGGGAAATGCCTTCGACACTCCAGGATGCGATCCTTCCGCAGGTTATGGGCCAGCATGGGAAGGTTACCCATTCTCCCAATTTGGGCGCACTTGGGTCGCCGATGCGCCGCCGTGTTTCCTAGTGGCCAGCCGTGCCACTTCCTTTCTTCCCTTTTCCGCTCCCCTTCGTCGAAACCCGTGTTAAAGCCTCGTTCGCCCGATCCGTAAGATGTTTGACTTCTGAGCTGTTGGTGAGGTCCTCCCACGCAGCCCAAGCTCCGTACCAGTGAATTTGAAGATGGTGTCCCACCACTTGAGCACGTACTACTGGTTCTTGGGCAATCGAGAGCTTGAATTTGTTTGTATCCACTCTGACTTCCCCTTTAGAGTAGCCCCAGTCCATACAGCATTTCCGTAAACCGGATAAGAACAGTGTTTTTTTGTATCAGTTGGAGCTGTCACTGCTAGCTACTGAGGGCCCCGGTCAGCGCGTGCGAGAAGCGCGCGCAGCGGCGACCCACCCTGTCGCTGCCGCAGGGCAATGTGGGCAGTGAAGCTGGAGCCGTCCGCCCTCATGACCTTCAGCGCCCTGCTCAGCGCGCTCGAGAAGAGCGATCTGGGTCGGCCGGTCTTGTCGCTGCTCAACGATATGTGGTCTCTGACTTTGGAGCCCGCCCTCGTTGTGAGCTCAGCGTCCCGGTCAGCGTCGGCGCGCGCGAGAAATGCAGGCAGCGGCAGCCACTCCCGCCGCTGTCCAGCGAGACGTGGGCGGTGAAGCTGGGGCCTGCTGTCGTCAGGCGCTGCAGCGTCCAGGCCAGCGCGCACGGGAAGTTCGAGCCGCGGCGCCTGGCCCTGGCGCTGCGGGCGGGCGGCAGCTCTGAGGCGGGGTGTCGGGAGACGTGGGGAGGGGCCCGCGAAGCGGATGCCCCGCGAGGCGCGGGCGGGGCAGCCGGAATCCGCCATCGTGGATTGCAGGGCCCAGTTCTGCGCGTCAGAGGAGGGCGAGCAGCGGCGGCCGGCCCCGCCGCCGCGCAGCGTGGGCGGCGAAACTGGAGCCCGCCGGGATCGAGCAGCGCGCGCAAAAGGGTGGGCAGTGGCAGCGATGGCGAGAAGGGCGGGCCGCGGCAGCCTGCACTGCCGCTGCTCAGCGAAACGTGGGCGGCGAAGCTGGAGACCGCCATCATCGTGAGCTACGGCGCCCCGATCTTCGCGCGCGAGAAGTGCGAGCAGCTGCGGCTGGAGCGGTCGCTGCTCATGGAGATGTGGGCGGCGAAGCTGGAGGTCGCCATTGCGAGCTGCAGCGCTCCGGTCATCGCTCGCGGGAAGCGCGCAAGGGCAGCCAGCCATGTCGCCGCCCATCGAGGCGTGGGCGGCGAAGCTGAATTCCGCCAACTTCGCGAGCCGCAGCGCCCTGATCGGCGCGTGCAATAACGCGCGGCGGCGACCTGCCCTGTCGCTGCTCAGTGGAATGCGGGCCGTGAAGCTGGAGCCGACCATCAGGAATTACAGCGCCAAGATTAAGTCGGGCGTGTCCCTCTACAGGAGGAATTTTCAAAGATACAAAAAGAATTGTCGGGGGACGATGTTTTGCATCTTTTGACTACTCGGGGGTATTGTTTTGAGTCTATTCTTCATCCAAAATCCCCCTGGAGGGGGACACGCCCGACTTGAGGCCAAGACCATGAACTTCGAGGCGCGAGCACGGGCAGTCGGCCGCGTCGCTGCTCAGCACGACGAGCGGTGAGCTGGGGCCGACCATCATGAGCTGCAGCGCCCGGGCGAGCGAGAAGCACGCGCGCGCGAGAGACGCGAGCCTTGGCGTAAGTCGGGCCTGTCCCTCTACAGGAGGAGTTTTCAAACATTCAAGAAATAGTCTGGGGATTTTTTTTAGTACTTGTTGACCATTTTGGAGCAGTTGTTTATTCATTATTTATTTTTCGTCGACAATCCCCCTGAAGGGGGACACGCCCGACTTAAGCCTTGGCGTCTGGCCCTGCCGCTGCTCAGCGAGATGTGGGCAGTGAAGCCAGGGCTCGCCGTCGCGGGGTGCGACGCCCCGATCGGAGCGCGCGAGAAGCGCGAGCAAAGGGCGGCGAAGCTAGGCCCGACCTCCACCAGCCACGACGCTGCGACGATCGCGTGCGAGCAAGGCAGGGAATTGCAACAAGCTTCGGCGCTGCTCAGGGAGACGTGCGTGGCGAGGTTGTCCCCGACCTCAATCAGCTATAGGGCCGGGATCCGCGCGGATGAGAAGGTCGAGCAGTGGCAGCAGAGGCAGTTGGCTCCTGCGCTGCTTCGGGATTTGCGGGTGGCGAAGGCGAATCGGATTTCCATCGGCTACAGCGCCGCGATCACCACGTGTCAGGTGCGCGGACTGGCAGGGCGGGCAGCGTAAGCGGGGATGGACGGCAGTGGCAGCAAATTGGAACGATCGGGGAGGAACGGCAGTGGCGGTGCGGGGGGGGTGGGCGAGGACAGGTTGGTCGAAAGAGCCATGCACTTCTGGCGAAGTATCAAAAACAGTACGTACATATCTTCCCGCCCTCTTTCCCCTCTCCCCACCCCCCCTCCCTCCGCCGCGCCGCCATGGTGCTTTTGCCGGTCCTTGCCTGGCCGCGGTCTCTGGGCTGCCACGCCGCGCTGCGCGGCCATGCCCAGCGCCAATTTTCCTGGTGGTGCTCTTCGGCAATGCCGTCGGTCCCCGCCCGCACGGTCCCCCCACGTTCTTGAGGCCACCGTTCTCGCGCTCATTTCGTGTCGCGTTCCCCACAGGATTTTCTCATGTCGTCGCGCCAGGTTCTGCCGTCCCTTGTCGTCGTTGGCTGTGCCGTGGGTGGTTTTGTCCTTGCCTTTGGCATCGGACTTTCTCTGGTCGTCCCATGGACGGTTCCGTTGCCTGGTATCGCCCCCGCCTTGCCTCGGTCACTTCCGGGGGCGGCATGCGTGGCTCCGCGCCCATGTTCGCCCCAGGATTTCGACCCTTGCTGCTGCACGTCGGCACGCAAGTGTAGGCCTACTTTTGAGTCGGGCATGTCCCTCTCCTCCGTTCGCGCCAAAATGGCGGGGACGTCTCGAGCGGTTCGCCTGTTTTGTTTCCCAACATCTTCCGCTGTCGGAGCAGATTTTGAGGATGTCTCGAGCGAGGCGCTAGTTTCCGCCTCCAAGGGAGGGCCGCCAGGGGGTATCTCACTCCTCCGTTCGCGCCCAGATTGCGGGGATGTCTCGAGCGGCTTGCCTGTTTTGGTTCCCAACATCTTCCGCTTTCGGAGCAGATTCTGAGGATGCCTCGGGTGAGGCGCTGACTTTCGCACCCCAAGGGGCCCAGATTGGAGGACGTCTCGAGCGTTTGTTTTGCTGGCCAGACTCGTTTGTGTTCAGAGCAGAGCCTGAAGATGTCTCTGGTGAAGCTTTGGTTTCGGCGGCCCAAGTGTCACATACTGCGAAGCTGTCTCAGACCCACTTATGCTCAAACTCACGTGCCCATTCTCACTGATACTCAGACTCGTACTCATCATACTCAGACTCAGACTCACTCACACCCAGACTTGCGCACACTCAGACTCACTCACGCTTAGGCCCACCCACCCTCAGACTCGCTCGTAGTCAGACCCACTCGTACTCACACCCACTTAGACTCAGGCCCATACTCACCATACTCATACTCAGACCCGCTCATAGTCAGACTTATCCACAATCAACAAAACGCACTCAGGCCCACCTACCCTCAGATTCACTCGTAGTCAGACTCAGCTGTACTCTGACCCATTCAGTTCCAGACTCGTGTTCATTATACTCATGCTCAGATCCACTTACACCCAGACTTACCCACACTCAGACGCACCCTCACTCAGACTCACTCATCTCCTGACTTAACATTCTCAGATCCACTCGTTCCCAGACTCTCCCATGCCTAGATCAACTAGCACTAGCACTCAACAGTGCGAAGACCCGCGTGCACCCCCAAACCAGTTTATCTTCGGAAGCCCTCGCGTCTAGACGCGCACGGCGGAAAGGTCCATGCACACAGATGCACATACGGGGAGCTCCACGCAGTGAATACCTTACTTTTAGGAGGAGGAGGAGGAGGAGGAGGAGGAGGAGGAGGAGGAGGAGGAGGAGGAGGAGGAGGAGGAGGAGGAGGAGGAGGAGGAGGAGGAGGAGGAGGAGGAGGAGAGGAAGAAGAGGAAGAAGAGAATAAGAATAAGAAGAAGAAGAAGAAGAAGAATAATAATAATAAGAAAGAAGAAGAAGAAGAAGAAGAAGAAGAAGAAGAAGAAGAAGAAAGAAGAAGAAGAAGAAGAAGAAGATAATAAGAAAAAGAAGAAGAAGAAGAAGAAGAAGAAGAAGAGAGAGAGAGAGGAGGAGGAGGAGGAGGAGGAGGCTCCTCTGTAGGAGGACATGCCCGATCTAAGCCTGCCTGCTCCGAGCGCGGATCCCTCTCCCGCCGGGCCTCCCTCCGGCCCCCCCTCTGCGCCGCCCCGTGCGGGCACCTCCCCGCACCGGTGCCCGACCTTGCCATCCGCCGTGCCCAGCCGTGGCCCGACCTCCGCTGCGAGTCGCTGCGGCCGCCGGCCAGAAGAGAAACGGCCGCTCGAAGGAGCTTCGGTTCTGCTCGTTCTCCTCGATCCTCCCTCCTCCCTCCTCCTCCTCCCACCTCCCTCCTCCCTTCTCCTTCCTCCCTCCTCCTTCCTCCCGCCTCCGTCTCCCTCCTGCCTCCCCTCCTCCCTCCCTCCTCCCTCCTCCGTCTCCCGCCTCCCTCCTCCCTCCTCCTGCCTCCCTCCTCCCTCCTCCCTCCTCCCTCCTCCCTCCTCCCTCCTCCCTCCTCCCTTCCTCCTCGATCCTCGTTGATCCTCGCCGGCTGGGGCTGAGAGCACGTGCCCGCCGCGCGCCCCACACAGCGGGGGCAGCGGCCGGCCCGAGGCATGGGGCGGGGGTGCGCCGGGCGCCGCACCGGCCGCACCGCATGCGCCCCCCTTAGCGCTCCGCGCGGGTCCGGGCCCCCCAGGCCCAGACCCCTTCGAGTTGTAAAGAATCATGATTTCTTGTTTGGAGAAATATAAATAATACTAATAATAACAATAATAATAAAATAATCATTATTCGTTATTATTCATTATTATTCATTACTATTCATTATTATTCTCATTATTATTCGTATTCTTATTATTTTTCTTGCTATTATTCGTATTCTATGTAGATTGTTGCGATTTTCAGCCTTTGGGGGCGCTAGTCAGGCCCCAGGGCCGTCAAACAACGACCCAAGATGAAAAACCGGTCCCGGGACATGGGTCCAGATTTTTGGGGGTCGCGTCATGAAAAAACATGCTGTCGGGGGTCTGGGTAGACCGGTCGGATACATCCAAGACCCCAGGCAAGGGGAGCCGGTTAGTGATTGGGCCCCGAAGCCTCACAAGTTGGCGTGAATCACTGAACCAAATGTGCTGTAGCTGGTGTTTCTTCGGGTGACGGTAGTTTTGGATAGTGGGATGCGGCGGGGAGGGGTTTGTCAGGATCGACGCTGGTTCAGCTCTGGTCGAAAACCGGCCCAATTTGGCTATCCTGCTCCATCCAGCTTGTTTCCGCTGAGTTTGGCTTGATCACGCTTGATCCGGCGTAATCCTGGAGCGAATCCGGTCAAGTTTGGTTCAGAGGCCTTTTCATTTGGCCTATACGTAACTCTGAATCGTTCTGACGAAAACCTCCCAGGAGTTGCCCCCTGAGGGTCGAAGGATCGCGCCGCATCGCCGATTCATCGCCTATGCGGTTCGATGTGGTACCCCAATTTCTCGACCCCGGCATCGCCGATGCCGACGTCGCCGATGCATCGCCAATGCGTCGGCGATGTATCGCGGATGCGGCGCGATCCTCCGACCCTACCTATTGTGACCGCATGGGGGATGGCTCCGTCGACTGAGGTTCGAATTTCTTGGTCGTTTTCGTAGGTTCTCGGCTGCTTTCGTTTTCCAGCCTCGAGGTGCTCTCCAGCAGCTGCGCCTCGCCGAGGGCGCTTCGGGGGTGCCCAGATCGTGGCGAGTAGCCGCCGAAGACCCGAGTTGTGACCCGAAGACCGGACGGCGAGGATCATTCGCGTCGGACGGAAAGGGGGGATTTGGGAAGGTCGGTGGCGCCCTGGGTTTCTTGGGTTTCGGTGGCTTTGCTGTGAACAGCGTGACGTTCCCACACCACAAATCAATGGACCTCCAAGAGGGGGTGAGGACTACGAGAGCGTCGGGTCGCCACGGAGGCGCGCTGTGTCCTGGGGGAAACGGGGGTACCTGGAGGCTTTGTTCGCCGCTCTCGAGCTCCCGAGGCCCATCCAGGGCCTCAGGATCACCAGAAAGCGGCTCGGGGTGAAGAGCTGATCCTGGGGAACGCCCCCTCCCGCCGTGGTCCGGTGCCCATTTCCTTCATGACCCGTTCGCTTCACGCCAAGTCGGGTCGGACGAAAGGCGGGGACGAATCGTGGGCGTTTCATCGCCCTTCATACCCGGGATCCTTTCCCAAAAATTTGCCGCTCAGGAAGAAGGGTGCGCTGGAGGATACCATACCCCCCCTGGCGGCTATTCGGGCGCACTCCCATCGATGGTGGAGGCCCCCCTGTCGTCGATCCTGGAGTTTGGCCCCAATGCGCTCGTCCTGTCGGAAGTTCCTCAAAGTAGGGATTGGGGTCGCCATAGCCCCCGCTGCCAAGGCCCAGGGGGGAAGTGAGAGGGGACAGGCCTTGTCAGACGGCGGTGCGGCTTCTCAGAAGTCTTCGCGCCTTCTGAGAGGTTTTCTGCGTCTTCGGGGAAGGCTTACCACGCTCCGAGACGTCCCCGAGAAGCCCCGCCTTCTACAAAGGGGGGGTGGGGTGGGAGTGGGGGTGGGGGGGTGGGGATCCGGAATTTGCTGCGCGCAGCTGGCCTCGACCCCGCCGCCGGGCGCCTTCCTCGACACTTGGTGCCTCGGGTGCCCAGAGGCGCTGGTAAGTCCAGCTGCAAGCAGCGGATTCGCCAACCCCCCTCTTTGCTCTCCCCCCTCTCACAACATTGGGGGGAGAGCAGGGCTCGAGCTGGACGGTGCTTTTTGGCGATTTCGTGGACCGTGTTCGTTTCAGCTTCGTTTTGCAGCAACTGCGGAATGAAGAGAGCCCGAGGGAACGCGAGACGCAAACCGAGCACGGAGAGCACTGTCATGTTCAGGCCGATCCATGAGTGCCTCTGGCGCTGGCCATCTGGAGCAGGTGGCCCTGGAGGGTATCCTGAGGCTAGATGTCTGGGCCTCCTAGATGGGGTCGGAGTAGATGGGGTCGGAGGATCGCGCCGCATCGCCGATGCATCGCCGATGCGGCTCGATGTGGAGCCCGACTTGCTTCACGTCGACGTCGCCGATGCATCGCCGACGTCGACGATGCGTCGCCGATGCATCGCCGATGCATTGCCGATGCATCGCCGATGCATCGGCGATGCGGCGCGATCATCCGACCCCATCTACTCCAGCCCCATCTAGGAGGCCTCTAAGATGGCAGCTTGAGTCTCAGGGTCGGAGCGCCGAGGTTGGCAGGCAGCCCGAGGCTGGAGGGACTGCCGCCGCCCCGCCGCCCGCCGCCGCCGACGGCGGCTTCGGCGGCGGCCCTGCGGCGGCGCCGTCACCCTGGCTGGGCCCCCCCGCCGAGGTCGGGCTGCCGCGCCGGCGAGCCGGGCCCCGCGGGCAGCGAGCCGAGGCCGCACGGCCTCGTTTGTTGTTGTTGTTGTTGTTGTTGTTGTTGTTGTTGTTGTTGTTGTTGTTGTTGTTGCTGTTGAACATTATTTATTCTAAAGAATAATTATTGTTGGGCCCCCTGGTGCGCGCCCCCCCTGCGCCGCCTAGGCCGCAGCTACATTTTCATCATTTTCGTGAGGAAGCCTCAGGTAAAAGAGGGTGTGTACAGGATCCGGTTGTTTTGTTGTAATCCGCTTTCCCTTGCAAAAAACAATAGAAAATGACATTTCTTGTTCTAATATAATCAAATTTCAAGAATCCCTTGCAAAAAATAAGGTAAAGTGGACATTCGCGCGCGCAAGACGAAATCCTTCCAAAAGCTTAGTGTTCGCAGCGATTTTAACATAAAAACATCAAAAAACCAATGGTTTTTCAACAAAAAAATGTCAAAATCTCATCCCGCGCGCTCTTGCGGATTCGTAGGAAACCCAACACTTTTTAAACATTTCTGTCAAACGGGCTTTTGCGAGCAACTTTTTCGAACTTCTGCGACAACGGTTGCGCACCTGCCAGGGCCATCATCCCTGTCAAATAATACCATGCGGGACACATTCGTTTTTTCTTCGCGCGCGCACGCCGTCGTCGTCGGCCGCGGGGCCCTGAATAGTAGCCACGGTCGTCCGCATGCCACGAAGTGAAGTGTCCGAACGTCATAGGGCGGGAAGCTGGGTGTGGGTGGTGGCGAAGAGTCGTATGGAAATTTGGTAGAGCTTGAACCGGCCCCCCCACAAAGTGGGGGTATTGCCCGCCTCCTATGAAAACCCTGGCATTGGTGAGAACGGAGTGTCCCCAGTCTTAAATGACTGTTGTTGTTGTTGTTGTTGTTGTTGTTGTTGTTGTTGTGGTTGTTGTGGTTGTTGTTGCTGTTGTTGTTGTTTGCGTTTCCAGGGCCCTAGTCATGCTCGCGTCGTGAACAGCAAACGACGGAAGGTTTGGGGTCGTGTTCGGCCTTTGGGTGCTTTTGCCGTGCGTTGGGGCCGTCAACGCGCGACGCGGGATACACCGGCCTTGGGGAAGGGGTGAGGACTTCCGGGGACCCCGTATTGTGACATCCCATGTCTTGGGCTTGAGCTCAGGCAAACAGCGGTTGATGTATCCCCATTCCTCACCGGACCATGGCATCTCAGCCCCGCCATCCCACCACCCCTGTTGGGGATGGGCCCCTCGAGCCCGAAGGGAATAGCCTTGATCCCCATTTGGGGGGGGTAGATTGGGCAGTGGGGCCCAGACCTCGCCAGTGGGGACACGGTGTTTTGGCGATTTTGTGGACCCTGTCGTTTTGCAGCAGAAGCGAAAGGAGGGCAGCACGAGATGAAACTAAAGACAACGCGAAAGCGAACAACCCACACACGCCGTGTAGATCTAGCCTTGTCGACCTTCCCCCGCCAAGGTTCGGGCAGAACGTTTTTGTAAATCCCAGCGCTCTTCTTTCATTCCGGCCGTACTCCTCGGTGGCCCCGCCTCTGCTTCCTCATCCTCGCCTCCTCCTCCTCTTCCTCCTCCTCCTCTTTGCGTTGGGCAAGCGGTGGCTTGCGTGAGCCGTCGCGTCGTAATGGCCGCGATCCGAGAATTATCCTGGCGAAGGACCCAATAATGTGCAGTTGTGAATATCGCATTGCGGGTGCCGCTTTCGGTGGAGCTCCTTGTGGGGCCACGAAACGCTGTGCTGGGTGGGGGTGACGCATGCGGGCGGCACCACTGGGGCCTTCGGTGGAGGTCCCTGTGGGGCCACGAAACGCTGTACTGGGCGGGGGTGATGCATGCGGGCGGCACCACTGGGGCCGTCGGTGGAGCTCCCTGTGGGGCCACGAAACGCTGTGCTGGGTGGGGGTGGCGCATGCGGGCGGCAGCACTGGGGCCTTCGATGGAGCTCCCGATGGGGCCATGAAATGCTGTGCTGGGGTGGGGGTGACGCATGCGGGCGGCACCACTGGGGCCTTCGGTGGAGGTCCCTGTGGGGCCACGAAGCGCTGTGTTTGGTGGAGGTGCCGAAATGGGTGTGCGGGACGCATGCGAGCGGTGGCATTGGGGCCTTCGGTGGAGCTCCCTATTGGGCCACGAAGCGTGTGAGGGGTGTGCCGAAATGGGTGTGGCTGACGCATGCGGGCTGGTGCCACGAAACGTGTGAGGGGTGTGCCGAATTGGATGTGGCTGACGCATGCGGGCGGCGGCACTGCGGCCTTCGGTGGAGCTCCCTATGGGGCCACGAAAGCGTGTGAGGGGTGTGCCGAATTGGGTGTGGCTGACGCATGCGGGCGGCAGCACTGGGGCCTTCGGTGGAGCTCCCTATGGGGCCACGAAACGTGTGAGGGGTGTGCCGAATTGGGTGTGGCTGACGCATGCGGGCGGCGGCACTGGGGCCTTCGGTGGAGCTCCCTATGGGGCCACGAAACGTGTGAGGGGTGTGCCGAATTGGGTGTGGCTGACGCATGCGGGCGGCGGCACTGGGGCCTTCGGTGGAGCTCCCTATGGGGCCACGAAACGTGTGAGGGGTGTGCCGAACTGGGTGTGGCTGACGCATGCGGGCGGCAGCACTGGGGCCTTCGGTGGAGCTCCCTATGGGGCCACGAAAGCGTGTGAGGGGTGTGCCGAATTGGGTGTGGCTGACGCATGCGGGCGGCACTGGGGCCTTTGGTGGAGCTGGGGCCACGAAACGTGTGAGGGGTGTGCCGGGGTGTGAGCGGGCCAGCACTGGGGCCTTCGGTGGAGCTCCCTATGGGGCCACGAAACGTGTGAGGGGTGTGCCGAATGGGTGTGGGGACGCATGCGGGTGGCAGCACTGGGGCCTTCGGTGGAGCTCCCTATGGGGCCACGAAACGTGTGAGGGGTGTGTCGAATGGGTGTGGCTGACGCATGCGGGCGGCAGCACTGGGGCCTTCGGTGGAGCTCCCTATGGGGCCACGAAACGTGTGAGGGGTGTGCCGAATTGGGTGTGGCTGACGCATGCGGGCGGCAGGCACTGGGGCCTTCGGTGGAGCTCCCTATGGGGCCACGAAACGTGTGAGGGGTGTGCCGAACTGGGTGTGGCTGACGCATGCGGGCGGCAGCACTGGGGCCTTCGGTGGAGCTCCCTATGGGGCCACGAAACGTGTGAGGGGTGTGCCGAATTGGGTGTGGTGGACGCATGCGGGCGGCAGGCACTGGGGCCTTCGGTGGAGCTCCCTATGGGGCCACGAAACGTGTGAGGGGTGTGACGAATGGGGGTGAACCCGCATGCGGGCGCAGCACTGGGGCCTTCGGTGGAGCTCCCTATGGGGCCACGAAGCGTGTGAGAGGTGTGACGATGATGTGATGATGACGATGATGGTGGTGATGACGATGATGATGATGATGATGATGATGATGATGATGATGATGATGATGATGATGAATGATGATGATGATATGATGATGATGATGCTGATGATGATGATGATGATGATGATGATGATGATGATGATGATGATGATGATGATGATGATGATGATGATGCTGATGATGATGATGATGATGATGATGATGATGATGATGATGATGATGATGACGATGATGATGATGAAGATGCTGATGGGAGGAGGGAGGAGGGGGAAGAGGAGGAGAGGAGAGGAGAACGCGGGGACCGTTTCTTCAAAACGAGGACCCAACACCACAGGATGGTTGGGAAAAAAGAACAGGAATCGGAACGCAGCGCTCGATCAACCTTAACGTGATATATGCAGTGCGTGCACGATGGGAAATAGAAGGGCGAAGATTGAAAAGCATGAGGATGTCCGCATCTTCTTCCTCCTCTTCTCCTTCTCCTCACCCTCTGATACTAGATTCAGAGCCCGAGCGGCACGACTCAGGGACGCACTCCAATGTACCTGCCAAACCTTTTTCCGGAGGATCATCTTGGAATTGTGCGATCGTTTCCCCCACTCAGGCCCCTCCTCTTCCCGAACACAACCGCTGGAGGCGTACCCTTGGTTTCCCCAGTAGCCATTTTCGAGCTCCAGGAACATCAGACACTGCTCCAGGGCGGCAAGCTGCTCCGCCTGGGACAGGGGCGAGGACCTCCTCCTCCTCGTCCTCCTCCTCCTCCTCCTCCTCCCTCCTCCTCCTCCCTCCTCCTCCCTCCCTCCCTCCCTCCCTCCTCCTCCCTCCTCCTCCCTCCTCCTCCTCCTCCTCCTCCTCCTCCTCCTCCTCCTCCTCCTCCTCCTCCTCCTCCTCCTCCTCCTCCCTCCTCCTCCTCCTCCTCCTCCTCCTGCTCCTGCTGCGCCAGAGGGGTCCGGGCCGCGCGCGCACCGGAGGGCCGAGGGTCTCGTCGGCGGGAGCCTCTACGCGGCGGCGCTGCCGGCGAGCCCGACGCACGCCTGGAGGGGCGGCTACAGGACGCGCCCACGCGCCCAGGGGAGGTGTCGTGGGAACGTAAGGCTCGGAGGCTGACAGACCTCCTACCCCGACACGTCGATTAAGGAATTGGCCGTTTTCGGTTCGCGAGAGGGCGTCGCGGCCGTCATTTCGCGGGTCCAGGTCCGTCGGTTTCGGTGCCAGGGTTTTCGCTAAGGGTAGGTTTACTAAAGGGAGGTTTGTCCACCGCCGAAAGACTCGAGTAAGCCGGAACTTGGGTTTGCGGACGTTTTTTGACGTGCGCGTCCCGGGTTTTGACGGTCCAGTTTTCGTGGGATGTTTGCAGCGGGAGCCCGCGTCAAATTGCGGACTGGGTCGCGTCGGGCCAACCCGAGTCCCCCTAACCCGAGTCTTATGTCTCCCCGAAGGTGGGGAGGGGTAGGGGGGAGGGAGGTCAGGGGAGGGACAATTAGCGACGGCCTAATTCCCAACCATCCTGTGGTGTTGGGTCCTCGTTTTGAAGAAACGGTCCCCGCGTTCTCCTCTCCTCTCCTCCTCCCCCTCCCCCTCCTCCCTCCTCCCTCCTCCCACCATCATCATCGTCATCATCATCATCGTTGTCGTCGTCGTCGTCATCATCACCGTCATCATCGTCTTCGTCATAATCCTCGCGACCGTCCTCATCACCATCATCGTCATCATCATCGCAGTCATCACCACTATCTCCTCTCACACGTTTCGTGGCCCCATAGGGAGCTCCACCGAAGGCCCCAGTGCTGCCGCCCGCATGCGTCAGCCACACCCAGTTCGGCACACCCCTCACACGTTTCGTGGCCCCATAGGGAGCTCCACCGAAGGCCCCAGTGCCGCCGCCCGCATGCGTCAGCCACACCCAATTCGGCACACCCCTCACACGTTTCGTGGCCCCATAGGGAGCTCCACCGAAGGCCCCAGTGCTGCCGCCCGCATGCGTCAGCCACACCCAATTCGGCACACCCCTCACACGTTTCGTGGCCCCATAGGGAGCTCCACCGAAGGCCCCAGTGCCGCCGCCCGCATGCGTCAGCACACCCAATTCGGCACACCCCTCACACGTTTCGTGGCCCCATAGGGAGCTCCACCGAAGCCCCAGTGCCGCCGCCCGCATGCTCAGTTCGGCACACCCCTCACACGCTATAGGGAGTCTGCGTCACCACACCCATTCGGCACACCCTCACCGTGGCCCCATAGGGAGCTCCACCGAAGGCCCCAGTGCCGCCCGCATGCGTCAGCCACACCCAATTCGACACACCCCTCACACGTTTCGTGGCCCCATAGGGAGCTCCACCGAAGGCCCCAGTGCCGCCGCCCGCATGCGCCAGCCACACCCAATTCGGCACACCCCTCACACGCTTCGTGGCCCCATAGGGAGCTCCACCGAAGGCCCCAGTGCCGCCGCCCGCATGCGTCAGCCACACCCAATTCGGCACACCCCTCACACGTTTCGTGGCCCCATAGGGAGCTCCACCGAAGGCCCCAGTGCTGCCGCCCGCATGCGTCAGCCACACCCAATTCGGCACACCCCTCACACGTTTCGTGGCCCCATAGGGAGCTCCACCGAAGGCCCCAGTGCTGCCGCCCGCATGCGTCAGCCACACCCAATTCGGCACACCCCTCACACGCTTTCGTGGCCCCATAGGGAGCTCCACCGAAGGCCGCAGTGCCGCCGCCCGCATGCGTCAGCCACATCCAATTCGGCACACCCCTCACACGTTTCGTGGCCCCAGCCCGCATGCGTCAGCCACACCCATTCGGCACACCCCTCACACGTTTCGTGGCCCCATAGGGAGCTCCACCGAAGGCCCCAGTGCCACCGCTCGCATGCGTCCCGCACACCCATTTCGGCACCTCCACCAAACACAGCGTTTCGTGGCCCCACAGGGACCTCCACCGAAGGCCCCAGTGGTGCCGCCCGCATGCGTCACCCCCACCCCAGCACAGCATTTCGTGGCCCCACAGGGAGCTCCACCGAAGGCCCCAGTGGTGCCGCCCGCATGCGCCACCCCCACCCAGCACAGCGTTTCGTGGCCCCACAGGGAGCTCCACCGACGGCCCCAGTGGTGCCGCCCGCATGCGTCACCCCCGCCCAGTACAGCGTTTCGTGGCCCCACAGGGACCTCCACCGAAGGCCCCAGTGGTGCCGCCCGCATGCGTCACCCCCACCCAGCACAGCGTTTCGTGGCCCCACAGGGAGCTCCACCGAAAGCGGCACCCGCAATGCGATATTCACAACTGCACATGGTTGGGTCCTTCGCCAGGATAATTTGTTGGGGCCTCCTCGGAGGCCCTGGTCGCTGCGGCTGGATTCGCTTCGAAGCTGAGGGACGACACAAGGGAGCCATGCTATCACGATACACGAGGAACGCACAAGAGGAACGCACGATATGCTGTAGGGAATCCACAGCTGCGGCCGCGGTTTGTCGCTGAGTGTTGGCTCTGTTTGTGCAGTCTTGGGTTCATTTGTTGTTTAGCCTCCGCTACAGACAGCAGATCAGGGTATTCTAATCTGAATACCCAGTGGGCCTTTCTTTGCTGAGAAAACCCGGTCTTAAGTAACATTTGGCAGTTGGAAGAGAAGAACAAGGAGCAACGCACTTGAGGAAACTGAGGCGAAAGTGCGCAGACGGATCGGAAAACTATGGCAAGCTTGCACGAGACAGGAGAACATTTGTACAGTGTGCAAGATTGGAGAATGCCCGCCCCCACACAGCGGCATCCGGGCGCTGCCCTGTGGAGGTATAGACCCCGCGCGAATACGACAAGGTAGTCTGACTTCAAAACGCAATCATGGAAGAGCTGGGAAACATTGCATGGCTTCTTGGTATGACGAGTGCGCTCCTGCGCAGTCGGTTTGACGCTTCTCATTCTGGGGTTGAGAAGCACCCCGGTGGCATAAGTCCAGAGGGCTCCGGGGACATGCTCTTCGGAGATCGAAAGGCCTCTTTGCAAGCGCTCCGTGCGTCTTCCCCTCGTTTAGCCAACAGGAGCCCTGCGAACCATTAGCACGCGGAGGAGGAGGAGGAGGAGGAGGGGGAGGATGAGGAGGAGGAGGAGGAGGAGGAGGAGGAGGAGGAGGAGGAAGAGAGGAAGGGGAACATGTGCGGATGAGGAGTGGGAGCAGTTGGAGGAGGAGGAGGAGGAGGAGGGAGGAGGGAGGAGGAGTTGGAGGGGGAAGAGGGGGGGGAGGAGGAAGAGGAGGAGGAGGAGGAGGAGGAGGAGGAGGAGGAGGAGGAGGAGGAGGAGGAGGAGGAAGAGGAGGACGTATTCGAGGTGGACCCCGCAGCAAACGGGACGGTGCCCATGCGCGGGAGGCTACCATTCCATCCTTGCCCTTTCGGTCCATCCTTGGCGGCTTTCGCTGGCCAGCCCCTCTCGGAAGCGCCAACATGGCCCCCCGGGGCCCTTGCGTCCCTTGCCGCGCATCGTCACCATGCGGCGTGACTGTAGGAGGGCGCCAGCTGTACATGCGGTACGATCGAAGTGGGTGGGGAAAGAATGGGTGCGGAGACCGAGTGCAGTCCCTGTCCACTTTGGATCAGAACATCGTTGCTGGTGTCGCCGCGGATGTTGTCCGCCTTTAAGCAGTAAGTCACCTGCCCGACGGCAGCAGCTGTCAGTTTTGGACGACACTTGTTGTTGGGCATCTTACCCTCAAACATCCAAACACACCCGATCCGCTTCGGCTTCGACCCTGTGCCGGTGCAGCCCGACCTGGTGCATAGCTCGATCCGACCAAGTTTCCCGATTCGATGCCGACTGATCTTGCCTTTAGACGCCCGAATTGGGTACAGAAAGACTTTATACAATGCCCAACAACAAATGTTGTCCCAAACCAACAGCGGCCGCTGTTGGGCAAGCGGCCTTGTGTCTCAAATGGACAGGCCGCGGCGGCGCGGACAGCGAGTCCTGCTCAAAATGAACAGGGACTGCTGTTGGGCATCGTACCCATTCTTTCCGTACCCATTCCATTCGTGCCGATTGCCGCCCAACCGCTGCCCCCGCAGTACCAGCATCCGCTTCGCGCACGAGACGGGGGACCCTCGTCGGCTGAGGCGGGGCGGCCCGACTCTCTGGGGGACGGGCGGGGCCCGTCCACGGCTTGGATAGTCTCGAGGGTGCATGCCGCGGAGTCTGCGCGTGCGCGGCACCAGAGGAGGAGGAGGAGGAGCAGGAGGAGGAGGAGGACGATGATGAGGGTGAGGATGAGGATGAGGAGGAGGAGGAGGAGGAGGATGAGGAGGAGAACGTTGAGGAGGAGGAGGAGGAGGAGGAGGAGGAGATCGAGGAGGAGGAGGAGGGGGAGGACGAGGACGAGGAGGAGGAATATGATGATGATAATGATGATGATGCTGCTGCTGATGATGATGCTGAGGATGAGGAGGAGGATGATGATGCTGATGATGATGATGATGATGATGATGATGATGATGATGATGATGTTGAGGATGGTGATGATGATGCTGCTGCTGCTGATGCTGATGCTGATTATGATGCTGATGATGATGCTGATGATGATGATGCTGATGCTGATGCTCATGCTGATGCTGCTGCTACTGATGATGATGATGATCATGATGATGGTGATGATGATGATGATGATGATGATGATGATGATGATGATGATGATGCGGACGAGTATCAGGATTAGGACCAGGATCAGGATGAGGACGAGGATGAGGATGAGGACGAAGAGGAGGAGGAGGAGGAGGAGGAGCAAGAGAAGGAGGGGGAGGAGGATACTGATGAGGATGACGGTGAGGATGAGGAGGAGGTGCAGAAGGATGTGGAGGAGGTTGAGGAGGACCAGTGTAATCCCAGCAGTCATCAGCGATGTTGGAATTAACCTCTCCGAGCCCCCTCTCCATAGGCAACTATAACGATTCATTTCCATTGAGGGAACTCCCTCGTTGGAAGACAACCGTTTGAAGACCTTGAAGCATGCCACAACATTGTTCTCGGGATCTTGACTGCCACCTGACTGCTGCGTCCTGACGATCCGGAATCGTGCCAGAAAGCAATTCATGGGACGTCCGCGCCGCGAATCAACATAATTGCTGTTGCACCCGCATAATCCTGAATCCTTCCAAAACAAGAAAACACTTCTGGTACGCTTATCATGGGAATCCGTGAAGCCCTTTCAAAGTTTAGAACGAATTTGAGCGGCGCTGAGGCGAGAGCCACATTTTGAAAACCACTCGCCATCAATCCGTAAAGCTCTTGTAAGTTCTTAAAGCGAATGTGCACGGCGCTACGGCGAGAGCCACATTTTGAAAACCACTCGCACTCAACCCGTGAAGCTCTTGTAGATTTGAAACGAATGTGCGCGGCGCTACGGCGAGAGCCACATTTTGAAAACGACCCGCCCTCAATCCGTGACGCTCTTGCAAATTTTGAATCGAATGTGCGCTGCGCTACGGCGAGAGCCACATTTTGAAAACGACCCGCCCTCAATCCGTGATGGTCAGGCAGACCTTAAGAAGAATTTGCGCGGCGCTAAGGCGAGAGCCACATCTTGAAAACCACCCGCCCTCAATACGTGAAGCTCTTGTAAATGTTTAAAATCGAATGTGCGCGGCGACACGGCGAGAGCCACATTTTGAAATCCACTCGCCCTCAACCCGTGAAGCTCGTGTAGATTTTGAAACGAACGTGCGCGGCGCTACGGCGAGAGCCACATTTTGAAAACGACCCGCCCTCAATCCGTGACGCTCTTGCAAATTTTGAATCGAATGTGCGCTGCGCTACGGCGAGAGCCACATTTGAAAACGACCCGCCCTCAATCCGTGATGGTCTGGCAGACCTTAAAACGAATTTGCGCGGCGCTGAGGCGAGAGCCACATCTTGAAAACCACCCGCCCTCAATCCGTGAAGCTCTTGTAAATGTTTAAAATCGAATGTGCGCAGCGCTCAGGCGAGAGCCATATTTTGAAAACCACCCGCCCTCCATGTGTGAAACTTTTGCCATGTTTTAAGTTTCCGGGTCAAAACTGGTGAGGAAGTCTGAGGCGAAACGCCCGTCCCGGCCTAAAATTGGCCTCGGGGTGCGACAGCGAGAAGTTCTTGTAAGGAAGCGACAGGAGGAGGAGGTGGAGGAGGAGGCGGAGGAGGCGGAGGAGGAGGAGGACGACGACGAGGATGATGATGATGAGGAGGAGGAGGAAGAGGAGGAGGAGGAGGAAGAGGTGGAAGGGGTGGAGGAGGAGGTAGAGGAAGAGGAGGAAGGGAGGGGAGGAGGAGGAGGAGGAGGAGGAGGAGGAGGAGGAGGAGGAGGAGGAGGAGGAGGAGGAGAGGACCAGTGTTTGTAAATCCAAGAGTCATCAACGATGTTGGAATTAACCCGCCCGCCCTCCAAGCTCCCTCTTGATCAGCCCCTACAGCGGTTCATATCCATTGAGGGAAGTGCCTCGTTGGAGGACAACCGTTTGAAGCCCTTGAAGCATCCCGCAATATCTTTTTCGGGATTGTCAAGCCATGGATCAACCTGACAGCTGCGTCCTGACGATCCGGAATCGTGCCAGAACGCCATTTTTGGGACTTCACCGCGAATCAATAACTTGTTGCACCCACATAATCCAGAATCTTTCCAAACACCATGTCTGTTACGTTTATCATGGGAATCCGTGAAGCCCTTGTACATGTTAAAACGGTTGTGCGCGGCGCCCAGGCGAGAACCACATTTTCAAAAGGAACAACCCTCAATCCGTGATTCTCTTGCAAATTTTAAGAACGAATGTGCGCGGTGCTAAGGCGAGAACAGCATGTTGAAAACCACCTGCCCTCAATCCGTGAAGCTTTTGTAATTGTTTAAAACGAATGTGCGCGGCGCTACGGCGAGATCCACATTGTGAAAACTACCCGCTCTCAATACATGAAACGCTTGCAATGTTGTAAGCGAATGTGCACGGCGCTCAGGCGAGAGCCACATGTTGATAAGAACCCGCCCCCCATTCGTGAAGTTGTTGCCATGTTTTAAGCATCGGAGTCATTTATGGCGAGCAAGTCTCAAGCGAAACGCCGGGCCCGCCCTAAAACTGGCATCGGGGTGCGACAGGGAACATTAATTTGTAAGGAAGCGGAGTGGAGGAGGACAAGGAGGAGGAAAGGGGATGGGGGGAGGATTAGGAGGAGGATGAGGAGGATGAGGAGGAGGAAGAGGAAGAGGAGGAGGAGGATGAGGCTTATAGTTGTTTGTTTTTGTGCTTCCCCACTTATCACATTCTCCACTGCTCGGTAATGTCAGTTTGTGATCTAGACCCCGCAGTGCGCGACATATTTTGTAATCAAATGCGCCAGGGCTCAGAGATCTCGGGGAGCCACCGCGCCGCGGATGATGGCAAGCGGCATGAACGACAAGGAGGGGGAGAAAGTAGAGTGGAAAAGGAGGAGGAGGAGAAGGAGGCTCCGCCGAGGGGCCCATTCCTTGACGCACGGTCGCCTCTGGCGCCAGGAGAAGTTAGGAAAATAAGCAATTGCGTGAGCTGGCTCGCTCAGCGCGCCGTGCCAGCGGGCCAACGAGCGAGCCCGTGCCTCTTTGGCTTTGGCCAGGCAAAGGTAGGTTTCCGCTGTTCGAAGCGGGCACGGCATGCTTGGTGAACACACACCGACAACAGTTTTGCATCTTGTGGGTGCCGCCGCGGGCGTTGACAGTTCGATGTAACGAATATCCTGCCTAGCAGCGGCCGCTGTGGGTGTGGGACACTTGTGGTGGACATCGTGCCCATTTATCCCACGTTCCTTTCGGGCGCGCCGACGTTTTCCAAACTGTCCTTGCACTTATATGTGTTCTTACTTATCCTCTCTGGTGGTCTGGCGGCTATGTTGCCAGTCGTCGCCTACCCGTCGCCGCCTCGTCGCCGCCCGTCGTCTGGGCCTGTCTGCCAACCTGGCGGCTATGTTGTCGACCTGGCCTACCCGTCGCCGTCTCGACGCCACCCGTCTTCTGGGCCTATCTGCCGGTTATGTTGCCAGGCGTCGCCTCCCCGTCGCCGCCTCGTCGCCACCCGTCGTCTGGGCCTGTCTGCTGTTCTGGCAGCTATGTTGCCAGTCGTCGCCTCCCCGTCGCCGTCTCGACGCCACCCGACGTCTGGGCCTATCTGCCGGTCTGGCGGCGGTGTTGCCGCCGTCGCTTCCCCGTCGCCGTCTCGACACCGCTCGTCGTCTGCTCCTATCTGCCGGTCTTGCGGCTGTGTTGCCGCCGTCGCCGCCCCGTCGCCGTCTCGACGCCGCCCGTCGTCTGGGCCTGTCTGCTGGTCTCGCGGGTGCGTTGCCGCTGTCGCCGCTCCGTTGCCGCCTCGGCGCCGCATGAAACATATATTCTTTGACCTACACAGAGAAAATCGACCCTCCCCCCTCCCCCCCGGGATTCGCGACCCTTTTTCGCATTGCAATTTATTTATTATTCTGCCCCATCGTCCATCCTAAATATGAACTCGTACCATCCGAGCCCACCAGGTATCGCCCCCCAGCCATCCTCCGCAAAATATACTATGCGCGCGCACTCGTTTATCATGAGTCATCAGTCTTCAAGTCCCTTGCAAACAAAAAAACAACTAGACGAAGTGCACGCGCGCGTCGTCGCGCGCGCGCATGCCAAAATCCGAAACAACCTTCGGTTTCGTGTCCAAGAACATTTTGCAACAGGATTTCGCGATACGGACTTCCAAACACAATTTGCGCGCGCGCTCTTGCGAATTCTTAAGAACCGTCGGTTTTTCAACATTTTCATAAAGTGCTACCAAACGGGCTTCGCGCGCGCATGTCGACATCGTTCGAACGCCCTTGCGCGCGTGCTGTGGGGGCACGATCTGTGTCAAAAATACAAGGCGGGCCACTCTCGCGCGTCTGCCGCGCGCCCATGTCGAACTCCTTCCAAAACCTTCATCACCGACGCGAAGACGCCGTCATCGTCGTCGGCGTGAGCAGCATCGTGGCCGTCACTGGCTGCCCTGTCGTCGTTGTAAGCATCGTCGCCAGCATTGCTACGATCATCATCGTGTCTACCATTGTCGACGTTGCCATGATACCGCGCTCTCCCAAGACGCCGACTCGCACTGAAGTGCCCACTGGGATGTGCCGAGCGGTCAGCGCCACCGCTCTCGCGTCGGTCGCGCCAAACTAGCTAGCCGGTGCGCGCGCGAGCATGCGCGGGCTAGCGCGGCCACAGGGATGCACCAGCCATCACCCAGCACTCATCGCACTGGCTTCCGCGTGGGTTCTGCAAACCACATTGCGGGTGGGAGGGTAGGATGATTGCGCGAGCAGCGGAGTTGTCAACTCCAAGTTCGGCAAGTAAATTGCACCACGTACGTTGCACCACGCCGATTGTACCACATCGATTGCACCCCATAAGTTGCACAACGTATAATGCAATACGTAGATTGCACAACATATGTTGCAATATTTGTATACACGCATACATAAGTCTGGAAAGCATTATTAGCATCTATAAATCTCCATGTGTATCCAGATTGTTATCATTTATGTATGTATATGTATAAATGTATGCATCTGTATGTGTATATGTATATGTGTGTATGTTTACATACATGTACATGGACATGCATATGTATATGCAACCGTATATGCAAATGTGCGTAATCGTGTATGTAGGTATGCCTGCCTGCAGCCATGTATTTATGTATGGTTGTACGTGCATGTTTTGCATGTGTATACGTAGTAGTGTCTGTAAATGTGCATGTACATGTACATGTATAAGCACATGCATTAATGTATGTATCCGTATTCACATTATGTATATTTACATGTTTATATCTATGTTTATGCGTTTGTTTCTGTGCATGTGTTTGGGTCTGTCGATGTGTTGGACTACGTATAGGAATACGTGTGTGTATATGCCAATGCATGTGTCGACGTATCTGTATACGCAGTTGAAAAAACATGTATGTGTATATATACAACATGTAAGTGTACAGACATGTGTATATGTATATGTAAGTGTGTGCAGACATGTGCACAGGCAGATGCACATGCATATCCATATGCAAATACATGGTTATGTGTTTATGTATGTATGAGAAGGTGCGTATGTGCTCATGCATTGTATGTGTATGTGTAAGAAGGCGCGTATGTCTGTACATAGTGGCGTACGCGTATGTATGTGTATATGTATGTGTATATGTATATGTCATTGCGCCTGTATTTGTGTATGTTCATGAGTATGTACATGTATATGCACATGTATATGTACATGTTTCTGCAACTGTACATGTATATGTTATGTATATACATGTGTACATGTATATGTATATGTCGATGTATACGTTCATGTATGTGTATACGGTTATGTACATGTACATGTGTATACGTATGTATTTTTATATGTGTACGTTTATGCATATGTATCTTTGTGTGTGTATGTATTCGTATATGTATAGGTGATTGTATACGTCCATGGGCATGTGTACATCCACGTATCGATATATACGTATGTTCATGTGCGTGTATGTGTATGTGTATGTGTGTAAAGGCCCTTTCATATAGAGATACATCTGTGTATCGTACAAACACATATGACTGTACATGTATATGTGTAGGTGGCTGTATATGTACGTGGGTATGTTCATGTATATGTATATGAGAATACTTTTACATACGTATATGTATATGTATATGTTCAGGTATACGTATACCTACTTGTACATGGACATGTGTATGCATATGTGTTCGTGGTTGTATATGTCAATCTAGAGTTATACTTGTGTATATATATAGACAACTATGTATAGGTGTATGCAAAATTATATGCACATGTATATGTTTGTACAGCGGTATGCAAGTCTATGCCTATGTACTTGTAGATGCAGATGCAGATGCATATGCGTATGCCCCTATCGACATATGTATTTGTGTATAAATAAATATGAATATATATATGTGTATCCATTATAGATCGAAGACGCCTACTGCGAATCACCGCCGCCCCCTGCCTTTTAGGAAACGACTATGTGGCCCAACGTTGAGCCAGACCTGCCAATCTATCGGACCATGTGTTCCTCGAATCGGTTTGGAAAGCCTTCGGGGAACACGTGGGCATCTTGAAGGTCATCTTGGCCGCCTGGAGGCCATTTTGACCCTTTCGGGCCTTCTTGGAGGATGTCCTGGAGGGCTCTTGGGCCGTCTTGGAGGCTATCTTGAGCGTCTTAACAGCCTCCTGGGCCGTCTTAAGGGCCTCTTGGGGCCGTCTTGGGCCTCTTGGGCGATCTTTGGGGGCACTTGGGGCTGTCTCGGGCCGTCGGAAGGCCGAACAAAAAGCAAGTGCCAAACTCCTTCAAACACTCATTGGAAATCAATGATTTCGGCCTTGTCGGGCCTTCCTTGAGGCCCTCTTGGAGGCCTCTTGGGCCGTCTTGGGCCATCTTAGTGCCTTCTTCGGCCATCTTGGTGAGCCCCTGGCCCGTTCGACGCCGTCGGAAGCCGTTTTGGGGGCCTCTCTGAGCCGACTTGGGGCCCTCTTGGAATGCTCCAGGGCCGTCTTGGAGGCCATCTTGGGCGTCTTAAAAGCCTCCTGGGCCGTCTTGGGGGCCTCTTGGAGCCGTCTTGGGGGCCTCTTGGGCCGTTCTGGGGCCATCTTGGAGGCCTCTTGGGCGATCTTTGGGCGATCTTTGGGGGCTGTTGGGCCGTATCGGGCCGTCGGAAGGCCGAAACGAAGCAATTGTCAAAAGCCTTCAAACACCTAAGGAACATCCGTGTTTTTGTCCTTGTCTGGCTTTCCTGGAGGTTCTCTTGGAGGCCTCTTGGGCCGTCTTGGGCCAGCGTCGAGCCAACTTCGGCCATCTTGGTGGGCTCCTGGCCCGTCTGTCGCCGTCGGAAGCCGTTTGGGGGGCCTTTCTGGGCCGACTTGGGGCCCTTTTAGGGTGCTCCAGGGCCGTCTTAGAGGCCATCTTGGGCGTCTTGGAGGCCTCTTGGGTCGTCGTTGTGCCCTCTTGGGGCCGTCTAGGGGGCCTCTCGGGCAGTCCGGAGGCCATCTTGGAGGCCTCTTGGGCGCTGTGGGGGAGATTTTGGGGGCCTCTTGGGCCGTCTTGGGTCGTCGGAAAGCCGAGAAGAACCCTCCTGGAGGACCTCTTAGGCGGCCTCTTGGGCCGTCTTGGAGACCTCTGGGGGGCCTCCTGGCCGTCTTGGATTCTCTTGGGCCGTCTTGGAGGCCGTCTTGGACCATCTTGGGCGAACTTGGAGGCCATCTTGGACCATCTTGGAGGCAATCTTGGGCCAACGTGGCCATCTTGGCGCCATCTTGAGCTGTCTTGGAGGACACCTTGTGCAATTGAGGTCCCTCCCGGGACCCCGGCGGGACGGGCCGAAGCCTCAGGGGGAGTTCTTATGGACAACAGAGCCAAAACCATAACCGAGAGGGTCTAGCACGCCAGGCACCCCTGCGATGAATCGACAGGGGGCGGCGGATACATAGTGGCTTTCGGCCCACCCCGCCACCGTGCCTGAGTGGTGTGTTAGAGGCCTCTCGGATGTTCGTTTGGATATCGTGGGAGGCCTCTCGGGTGCCTCTTGGAGGCAGTTTTGAAGCCTCTTGGAGGCCTCTTTGGAGCGTCTTGTGGCCTCTTGGGGGCCTCTAGGGGCCTCTAGGGGGCCTCTTGGGCTCTCGGGGGTCTTTGGGGTGCCTCCTGGGGGTCTCTAAGAGGCCTCTTGAGCTCTCTTGGGGTTCTGTGGAGGCCTCCTGGTGGTCTGGCGGAAGGCTCGAATTGTTGATTTGTGTTTCCCCTCTTGGGGCCGCCCCTCTTGGGGCCGTCTTAGGGCACTCTTTGGCGATCTTGGGCGCCTCTTGGGCCGTTTTGGGGCCCCCTGGGATCGTCGTGGGGCCCTCTGGGGTGCCTCTTGGGCAGCCTTGGGGCGGTCGTGGGGGCCTGTGGGGCCATCTTGGAGCGTCGGAAGCCCGAAAACGCGAGAACGCGAAACTCATGGAGAGAACACAAGGAACATCAGTGATGTTTGCCTCTTTGGGTCCTCTTGGGGGTCCTCCTGGAGCGCTCTTTGGGCTCCTTTGGCGCCTTTTGGGCCGTCTTGTGGCAAAATTGGGCGACTTGGAGCGCTCTTGGGATGTCTTGGAGGTCTCTTGGGCACTCTTGGGCGGTTTCTGGGGCCCTCTTGGCCCGTCTTGGGGCCCTCTGGCTTCTGGAACAGTCATGCGAGGCAGCCCAGGAAAACGCGGGACAGCCCAGGGAATTTGAGAATGTGGCCCCCCAGCCTTTCGAATGCCAGAATCCCAGAGTCCTGAGTGCAGAGAAGAGAGGACACGTGCGAGCCTGGGGGTAATTCCACTGCGTGCCTCGTGGCACAATGGCGGGTATCTTGCACCACCTGGATTTCACAACGCGTATTGCATACACTGCACCACAGAGTTTGTCCCACATATATTGCGCCACGTTTAGTGCACAACGCTGCTATTGCATGAAACATCAATGGCAGAACATCGATCGCACCCCATCGGGTACACCACATGGACTGCACAAATCACGGATTGCACAGAACGCATACTGCACACCACATACGTTGCACAACGTACGTCGCTAGAAGCACACTGTTTCAGGGTCCGCGCTGGATGACATTTGTTGGTTAGCAAAGCGAGGAGGGCGGGGATGACGTCTTCGTCGTCATCTTTGATCGTCGTCGTCGTCGTCGTTGTCGTGGTCGTTGTCGTGGCCGTCGTGGTCGTCGTCGTTGTCGGGGCCAGCGTCGTCGGGTCGTCGTCGTCGTCGTCGTCGTCGTCGTCGTCGTCGTCGCCGATCGATCCACGATCGACGGGTGTCGGCGGCGCGCCCGAGCCCCGAGGCAGCGGCAGCTGCGGCGGCTGGGCGCGCTGCTGCTGGGCGCCTGCGTGCTCGTGTCGGCTGCCGTGCTGGCCCCGCCCCCCCCTCGCGCGCCGGGGAGGATCCAGGCCGCCCAGATTCGGCGACTACAATGGGTGTGGTTACGCTGGGCGTGGTTGCGATCGGCGCTGTTTGGGCGCAGGGGCCGCCGCGTTGCGCCAAAGGCTTGATGAGCCCTCGTCGGGGCGCGGCACGGATCTCTGTCGGCGATGCATCGCCCATTCCAGCTCGGTGCTTCCTCTCCTGAACCGGTCGCTCCTATCGCTGCCCCTCAAAATGGGGCCACAGTGCGGAAGGTTCGTGTTGTGTCGAAGCGGCGGCGATCCAGGCGCGTGCGTTCCAGGTTGAACGCCGCCAGTGTCCCAGCATCGGCCAATATTGAACGATGTGGCAATCGGAAAGTGTCTGGTCGTTCAAGTTTGAATGATCCATGCGGTGTCCGAAACCAACATCGACGTTGTCGCGATACGAACCCGGGTCAGAGGAGCGCGCCGCATCGCCGATGCAGGGGCGATGCGGCTCGGTGCATTTGTGAGGCAGGACCTGCCTCTTTTGTATTCCTGGCGTCTCTAACTGATGGCATCAGGTGAAATATGCAGAATGTGTGTGTGTGTGTGTGTCAAGTACGTGCGATCGCAAAGTGCTTGAATATGTACAGGCATGCGCTCAAAGGAAGGACAGAGCCCCTGGGCGCTGCAGCAATGGTTATGCCACAAGTGGGTTAAACTACACACTGAGCTCATTCATATGCAAACGTCCCCTCGATGTGGAGTGAACTGTCTTCCTCCTCTTCCTCCCTTATAGCCCTCCCCATTATTGTGACGGCCTTACGGCAGGTGCCGCCGACCCTGTATGCGAGGAGGACAGGGAGATGGAACAGGTGGACGAGGAGGGGGGGCCTCTTGGGTATTCCAGAGCCTCTTGGGGATCTCTTGGGAGCCTCCTGAGGGCCCCTTGGGTCTTCCTGGGGGCCTCTTTGAGGCCTCTGAGGGCCTCTTGGGTGGCTTCTTGAAACCGTACCCCTCGATGTGGAGTGACATGTTTTCCTCCTCTTCCTCCCCATCGCCATCCCCATTATTTCCCTCCTCTTTCTCCTCTTCTTCTCTCATTTCCTCTTCCACTCTTAGCCCTCGCTCTCGTCCTGGTCGTCGCCGCCTCCGTCGTTGTCGTCGCCCCCCCCGCCGTCATTCGTCGTCGGCGTCGTTGGCCTCGGCGCCGTCGCCGTCGCCGTCGCCGTCGCCGCCACCGTCGTCGTCATTGTCGTCGTCGTCATCGACGTCTGCTTTAGTGTAGGCGTCGGCGTCGGTGTCGTCGCCATCGCGGTCGCGATCGCCGTCGCCGCCGCCGCCGCCGCCGCCGTCGTCGTCGTCGTCGTCGTCGTCGTCGTCGTCGTCGTCGTCGTCGTCGTCGGCGTCGGCGTCGGCGTTGGTGTTTGTGTCGGCGTCGGCGTCGTCGCTATCGCGTTCGCCGTCGCCGTCGCAGTCGCCGTCGCAGTCGCCGTCGCAGTGGCCGTCGCCGTCGCCGTCGCCGATCGCCTCTTCTGGAGAGGCCGTGTGCGGTCGCTGGTCGGCGAGCGCTCCGCCGAGGCGGGCTCGTCTGGTCGGGTTTGTCTTGAGGGAGGGTCGGAAAGAATGAAGGAAGGACGTAAGGGAGACAGAGCAGGAGGAGGAAGAGGAGGAGGAGGAGGAGGAGGGAACATGAGGAGGAGGAGGGAGGAAGAAGGAGGAGGAGAAGGAGGAGGGAGAGGAGGACGGATGAAGGAGGAAGGAGGAAGGTGGAAGGAGGCAGGAAGGAGGAAGGAGGAAGGATGAAGGAACAAAGAGGAAAGAGGAAGGAGGACGGAGGAAGGAGGACGGAGGAAGGAGGAAGGAGGCAGGAGGATGATGAGGAGGAGGAGGATGGCAGGAGGAGGTGGAGAGGAGAGGATGATAAGCACGGACTCTCTGTTGGGCTCATGTGAGGGTTTCCATTGGCAAAACTCCTGGGCTGGGCCAAGGACATGCGGGGGCCCAAATCATGACCCAATGCTGGGGAGGGTACGGGCCCACGGGCGTGGCAAGGCAAGCAATGGCGCAGGGCCCAGACCCCCCTCCGCCTCTATAGGCAGATGTGCTATTTGTCCGATTGTTGGACGCCCTTACTTTCCCTCCTCACCCCAGAGCCCCTCTCAGCGATCCCTAGATCTGAGCTCCTAGGGGGTGGCGTCCCGTAGGGATGCGAGCCTGCGGGGGCAGAGGTCCACTCTGTCTGATCTGCGGGAGGTATGCAAGCAGACGGGAGGGCAAGACGCGGGGTGCGTTCTCAACGCGTGCGGGGGGCTATTCTGATACACTCGACGTGCCATCACGGAGGCATGTCTGGCTGTTGGGCCTGACTTGGGATGCCTTCTCGGGGTCTCGAGATCCCATCGGGTCCCTCCGGTCTCGCCGCGCTCGCCCCACGTGACGCGCTGGCATTTTGCGATGCAGTGGCGCGTTGTTCCAAAATGACGTCGCGGACCAGGGTTTGAAACGGGCGCTTCCTGCGGCCCCCTGGCGTCCACTGCATGCACTTGGCGTCCTGCCAGGGGCGCTGGCCTGGCTTGTCGGGCCTGACGCGGGTCACTCCACTGCCCGGCCGCATGCCCCCAGGGAGCCCACAGGGCTCGCCGCGCACCCTTCCTGCTCTCCGCAGAAGGCGTCCCCCCGCCTGAGGGGTAGGCGTGGCACGTCGCTTTCTCCCGAGGCTCGGCGCAGGCGTCCAATCCTAGACTGCCGGTCGATCCCTGGCTCAGTCTTGAGAAATGGAGCGCCTGCAGGGCTGTCCAAAGGCGAAGCCGACGACGCCGATCACACCGATAACGAGGATGGCACTCATGCACCGCAGGTGGCCAGGGTTTCCGGCGGGCTGCGATGCATTTTATGTAAGCGGGGTGGAAGTTTGCCAGTATCTCTGTCTTTTTCGTTTGCCCTGGTCCTCCCCCTTGCCTTTGCCGCCCCCTTTCGACAATTTCGTGCCGCCCCCTGAACGGCTCCCGTACTGAATCAGCGGCACCTCGCGTTGGCACGTCCACCTGCCCGTCTCCGGCATCGGCATGAAGGCAGGACCCGGGTATTCTGGGGCCGCCGGGCCGCCGGCTGGCCGCTCAGGCGCGGGGCCGCTGGCGAGAAGCCCGGCGGAACTCACGCATGGCAGTCAGGAAGGAGCCGCGGCCAGTCCCACGGACGGCCCGTGCAGCGGTGGTGGCGGCGGCGGGGCCGCTGCCGCGAGGGCGTGCGACGGCTCGACCCTGGTGCGAGGCTTCACCTCGCGGTGCTGCGCTCCCGGGCCGTCGTTGCCCGCAGGTCGCTCGCGCTTGGGTCTTGGAGGCCTCTTGGGCGATCTTTGGGGGCACTTGGCTCGGGCTGTCGGAAGGCCGAGCAAAAAACAAATGCCACAATCCTTCAAAATCTCATGGGAAATCATCGATTTTGGCCTTTTTCTGCCCTTCCTGGAGGCCCTCTTGGAAGCCTTTTCGGCCGTCTTGGGCCATCTTACGGCCCCCGGCCCCGCAAACGACGGGGCGCACATAGGGTGGGGGCTGCCCTTGGGCAGAGCCGCTTTGGCAAGGAACGCCGTGCTGGGGCTGTTCAGAGCTGGCCGAGTTGCGCGAGTCAGCGGCTCACTTCCTGGAGCCAAGATGCTGGATGCTATTTGGGTGCGGAAAGTGGGAGGGGGTGGCGACAGGCGGGATGCAGAGACCTCATCAGTCATGCCTTGCTCCGGCGGACGGCGGTTGGCAATTGGCATGGCACTGCCAATACTCTCATTGACGTTGCGTCCTCTGCTGGGGTGGGGTACCCACCTCTGAGGAAGCGTGGGTTGAGAGCCCGCCTGCGATCGTCCTAGCTGCCGCGCCCCTGCGCCCCTCCTCCCTTCCTCCCCTTCCCCTCCTCGGCACTCCTCGCACCATCATGGGCGCTTTGAGGCAGCTGCTGCGATGCTTGGGAGTCATCGCCGGCTGCATCTCAGCGGCCCGCGGCCAGCCGTGGGGATTGTCGTGCCCGCTCCAGCCCGCAGGACGGCCTCCGCGCAGGCGCGAAGGCGCACCAGGGGCTCGGCGACTCCCAGTGCCGCCTCGCGGCCGAGGAGAGGCGTGTGTTCTTGCGGCTTGCGCGCGCCGGCTTCCGGCCGGCCGACTGGCCGAGGACGCAGGCGCCGGGCCGGCGACACTTCTACCTCGAGACCTCCATATTCGAGCACCGCGGGTTCCGCTCCGCATCGCCGGGCTTTCGGCACGGGACAGCCAAGATCTCGTGGGACGAGCGCTCCGTACACGAGGCGCTCTACCGCGGCTGGGCAGAGAGGAGCCCGGCGCCCGCCGTTGTCCAGCTGCCTCGGCCCCGTGCGGCTCGGAGCGCGCATCTCAGGGCAGGCTTGCGGCTCGGCGGCTGGATGCTGGTGGCGCTCTTCTGGGGGCATGCGTCGGGCTGGCTGTCCCCGGCGAGACCACGGCCTTCGTCGTCATGAAGCCCGGTTTGCAGCTGGCAGGCTGGCATTTTGGTTCGATTGCGTACTCAACGGATGCACGGGCCACACCTTTCGCTTGCTGATGGCCTGCGACGCCGCACCGGCGGCGCTTGCCGCCACCTGGCGGGGCAAGGGTTTCGATTTTACGCTGGGGTTCCCAGGGGACGGCCCCCCAATGCCAGGCACGCCGCTGGGTGGTGAGCGACGGGCGCGGCAGCGGAGCCGTAGCCGGGAGCGCGGCGCATCCGCCCCCCCCCGTGGGCCGTCGTGGAGCTCACGATGGTCCAGCCGCGGCAGGGCGGCTTCGGTCGCTCCGGGAGGACCTGGCCAGCTGCCAGAGATGGAGGTGGACGAGCTGCGCCAGGGGGTCCGCAGGTTAGACTTCGACGAGGCGATGCTGGCCGTGCCGCCGCCCCCGCCGCTGGCGCGCTGGCGTTGCCCTGTGGCTGGCTGCCCGTGCGCTGACCCGGCCAGGCACCAGGGTTGGGCCAACGCTCAAGGCCTCCATCGCCACTTGGACGCGCACCTCAGCGGGTAGCTCGCC